AAGCAAGCAGGATAGTAATAGTTTTTAAATAAATTCGCAAAAATAAATTAATTGAAAACACTAAAATTAATCATCACTGTATGCTGATTACAATAGTCAATAAACTAGAGCGAAGCTTGTTCTTTGGACTTCATTAGTACCATAAAGACAACTTACTTAATAGAATTTTCAAAAAATATACATACACGATTTTTAAAATTTGTTTAAAGAAAAACACATTTCGTTACTTTTTATTAGGGCGATTTCGTAATAAATAATTCTTGACTCTATCAGCATCCCACATATTACTTGAATCTGCTTTCATATTTAAAGTAGGTAATATTGTTAAAATTTTTTCTTCTGAAATTTCTTCTCCTTGTTGGATTAATTGAATCAACGGAAGTAATGTATTTTTAGCTTCTAATGTAGTTACACATCTTGATCTTTTTTTTATAACATTTTCTACTGATTCATGTAGATGAGGTTGGGCTTGTGTTTGTAGATAACTTGATTCAGAAAACGATCTAATAATTTGAACTGGTTAGATTTGTAAAGAATTATCTGAAAATTGAGTAGGTGTCTTCTTTTCAGCTTTTTTATTTTCATTTATGTTCTTCATTGTTGTTTTAGTAATGTTAAGTGCTCTTCTTCCCTTCACTCAATTTTCTCAGTTCCAAAGACCTCTTGTCTACAAATAGAATTCATTCTTTCATGTCCATTTGTATAGCAATCAAAAAGTCGTTGCACTCCAACAGGATTCAATGCACAAGGTTTTGTTGTTTTCCATAAATTGCATTCAAATGCTTTATTATCTGCAACATTAAATGTGTCTAATAAATGATTAACTAAATCCCACGTAGTTTCTTTGTGTGTCTTTATTGCTCTGGTTCCATGAGGAGTTGTGGTATCATTCAAATATTCAGAGAAGAGAACACCAATCCTCTCATGTTCGGTTTGTGCAGCACTTATTTGTGATTTCATGTTATCTTCATCAATTACATTTCCATTTATAAAGCCTTTAATAAATTTAACGCCTAGAGTTTCAAGTGCCTCATCAAATCCAAAGAAGTGTCCAGCTCTGTCTTCAGATGTTTTTATGGATGCTGCAGCATTTAATTTTTCCTCAAGTTTTGGATATTGGGACAATATGGCAAGATAATGTGCAACAGACTTCATGTAATTCATCTTTCCAGCTGCAGGGAATAAAGGAGAAAAAGCAGTTAAGCAATATTTCTGTAATTTGAAATTCCACAACGTATTCCAATTCTGTGAGCAATAAAAATTCCTGTCCATTGATAATAGAAAAACCAGACTTTGAGGATCATATTTTTGTTGAAATCACCATCAAGAATTTGATTTTTGTCCATTTTTTTTTTTTTTAACCAGATATTTATCGAAAGTCCCACTGCAGTCCAAATTAATTCAAGAACCCTTACTGTAGAACGATAGTCAACTACACTTTCCAATTTATCTAAATATTTTACACCAAGTGTTGATGCAATGTCAAAAATTCCATAACTTGAGAATATTGTAATTAATACACTACACATATCCTTGGAGGTATGCCATTGTCCTAACAATGGTCTTACATTTTGATTTTCTTTTCGATATTTGACTAATCGTGCAAATATTGATTCATCTGCAACAATATCTATGTAATCTTCTTGATTTATTTCATAATCATTATAATACATATCTACAGATTCAAAGATACCAGCATCTTTATTTGGAGTTCCTCCTGGTTTAAGAATTACAATATTTGGTGGAGAATAATTACACCCATGTTCAACACACTTCATCATTTTTTGATAGATTGTTGAAGCATCAAAATCTTTCTGATATTTAATAACATCATTTTCTATTGTCATCTGTAATGATGTAACCAACAATTTGTCAAAAAGGTTTATAGCACTTTCTGCTACGTTATTCATGCCAAACAGGTCTTTTTCTGAAATATTTTGGAGTATATCCTCTGGTCCTTCTTGAGTATTAAAAGAAAGAGGTATTTGAAAACACATTCTTAATGTTGCATGAGATGTATTACGAGTAGCATTAAAAATATTATAATAAGTGAAGCTTTTTTCTTTGAAATCAATATTATCAATCATTGACAAATTCCAAATTTTAGGATCATTTTTTTTTAATCTTATTTCTGGTTGAATTCTACTCATTCTTTCTATTTCTAATTTTCTCTCATTACCACTAGTGTGAGCCATAATTTGCAAAGTTGAGAATAGATCTCTCATTGAACCAAGGAGTCTAGGTCTTCGGGAAAGACTTGCCATTACTTGTGGAAACCATACTTCCATCTTAGGAAATGTTATATGCACAATGATTGAAACGAGAAAGGTTATAATTTTTTTAATGCTCAATATATCTATCTCTTTTGGTGTTTTATTTTTTTGTTGTAATTTAATATTTGATAATTCTAATTTTTTCTTATAAATATCTGTTAGAATTCCATCAAAAAAAACAAGTTAAGAAAGGAGGGAGTGCATTATAATATTCATCCAAGGAATCAGGCATTTTTATTTTATTTTTTTGTTCAAGTAACATAGTTCGTGAATTCCATAGAGCTTTTGCCATATTTTGACCAAAAGTTTTGCTTTGTTCATTTAATGAAAAAGAATTGGTATCTTCTAAGTTTATTTTGTGCATCTTCAGGAAAACCTTTAGTACAAAAGGACTTGGCACTTTTGTATATAACAGGTCAGATATTGTTGATATTTCTATTACTGCTTTTGAACTTGAATTTTTTGCTTCCATTTCTTGTGTTTCTTTAATTATTTGAAGTGCAGGATTCAAAATATTCATTAATACCTTTTCTTTATATTCTATATTTTCAGATTTAGCAACTGTTAAAAGCCATTTACCTAGAAGATCAAGGGAAGTGGAATGGTCATTGTTATGTAAACCAAATTTTTCACAATCAAATAGTGGTTTTCCAGATCCCATTTTCACATGTAAATGCCCTCCATGATTTTGATAACATTCACAGCATATATATTGAGCTTTAGCAACTATATCAACTTCTGGTTTGCAAATCACACCAAAGTTATTTAATGCATGACAGGTTATTTGTCCATTACAAGAAACCTGGATATTTTTATCTAAAATGTTCCAAGAATGTGAACTACAACTTCCACTATGACAAAAGAAAAAAATATACTTGCTACAGAAGAAGCACCGGCTTTTAATATAGTCATCACCAATTACAGGTATTGTAGTTTTCAATTTATTTTTATGGTATTTTTGATCAACATTGAAATGTTGCATACAGATTCCTAGTTTTTTTCCCTCTTCTTCGTTTTTTTTGACAATTTCCTTATCTAACTGCCACATTCCAATTAGATGATTGAGAGGTCTAATTTGTTGACTACACCCACATGTCTGAATTTTTCTATCCACCAAATCCACCAATATACATGTTGAATAATCATTATTCTGTTCTTGATTATTATTTACTGTGAATGATTCTAAAGATTGAACTGGTAAGGGATCTTCATCATCACTTGTATCATCATAATACATATCTTGCAAAAAAATATTTTTATATGTTTTTTTAAGGGCTTCACAATCATACTCAAAAGTGATATCATTATCATTTAAAATAATATTATCATTCTCCTCATTTTCTGGTTCTAAGTACTTAATGTTATTTTAAATTATTATTATAATAAAAAGGTTATTCTGATATAATGATATGTTTTAATAGAATATGAATTACAGAAAATTCTCTATCCTAATTCATGCTTTATAACAATTATCAAATTGTAATGCTTTATATATATAATGAAAGAATCAAATATATAAAAGGATAATAAATATTTAATATATTTAATCTAACAAGGAAATATAATCAATTATAAATAATTAATCTAACAAGGAAATATAATCTATGTATATGTGTTATGCATGAATTTATTTGTGTTCCTAATAAAAAAAATAATCTCGTTATATGGGACTTCTATAATAAGTCCACTATAAAGAGATTTTTCTTTATAGTGGACAAAAATGCCTGGAACCAAATTTCCACTATAACGAGCTTTGGATGTATACTAAGAACATGTAATAATTGGTTATTTGCAGCAATGGTAACTACCATAGAATAGTTACCAGGACTAGTCGCGTAACCTAAATGAGCATTCGGTTAAACTGATTAAACTATTTAGTCACCAAGTTTAGTTAAGACAATTATTACCAAATTAGGATTTTAATCCCTTTACGCGGCCAGCCCTGGTAGTTACCATTATAAAATAGTTACGGCTGTCGCAAATATAGTTGGCACGGTAATTCCATAATAATAATTACTATTACTATTACGGGATTACGGTTCTAAAAATCCCTAATTCCGTAAAAATGTTTGGCTCCGTAATTATTTATTACAAAAAGATCAAATGTATCTGATGGTTAAAATAAAAATTTAGATTATTGAGGCAATTTAAATAAACGTGATTCCAATTAATGGCTTATACGACTTAACATTCAGGAAGCCAAAGTTCATCCAGCCTCTATACAACAGTTTAACTGAGTCATGGGTTATTATTAGCTTGGAAAGAAAATAGGTAAGTGGTGTAAAAATTTGAAAATAACCCGCAGACTTGGTTTACATATGTAATCTTATATATCAACTTAATATTAATTATCATGGAATCATCTTTACAGAATCACGGTAGCCGAAATTATTTACCATTACTATTACGGTGACCGAGATTATTTACGGAGTTTAATTACTAATACTAATTATAATATAAAAACATATAAAATTTTTCTTATGTTTCCCGTTCATCCGTTGTGACAAGGTTTGATTGTACTTTCTCATTATATTAATATGGATCTTTATGATAATTTACATTGGCTTTTATTTGACTATGTACAGAGAAACCTTGTTTCAACAAATCTTGTTACGCATTATGAAATCATATGTCCAGCCACAAAGTTATATCTTATTTATTCAATTTATCCACTATTGTTTTTAAATATTTATTTATTTCATGGATTCTTATTAAAGAACTTACTTTATATAAATGCATAATTCACATGCATATTTTTATTTCTTCAACATTAAAGGCAGAGAAAAGGTTTTTACACGTGAAAAAAAAGTATTATATTAATATAAAACTTTACTGCATAGTAATAATCAATCCCGTTAAAATGAACTTTTTAAAAACACATAGTCGAATGTATTGTAAATTTACCCCGTTAAACCACAATTTTTTGCTTTTTGCTCCGTAGCAATAGACCTTGTTAATCCGAATTTTTTTTTAGAATTTTTTGAAGCCATTTCTATTTAAATTCCCGAATTTTTATTTGGCCAATCAGATACTGATCCTCAGTTTCGAAGTACCCGTTAATCAAAAGAAAAGTGGCCTTCGGATCAGACGGGGGTGACTATGTATTATGTATCAAGATCACAAATTTTGTTGCGTGTAATAAGAAGAACTGCTAAAATGTAAATGTGATAGAATTTCCATTAGATATCATTTTTAAATTTTCAAATGGAATAAAACGAACGATTAATAATTATTTTATTGGTTAGAAATTTCAAATTTCTTAAATGCCAAATGAGAAATTAAATTTAAAATATCAAACATATGATTAGAAGCTCAACTAAAGAAAAGAAAATCAATGCTGAAAAAATATTTAATAAAGCAAGGGCAAGGTTATTTGACATATGGTAATGATGATAGAAAATGCATTAATGTTGATATGGATAGATATGAAGACAATGTAAAATGATACAAATTAGGAAGCAATATGCAATAGATAGCAACAACAACTTTGATAAATACAGCGTATCACATCTAGTTATCAAACAGTTCTCTCTTTACTTACTTATAATGGGCACTAGCTTAATTGTGGTCTCATCTTCATGGCAAGCTCGAGACTGGCTCATTTTGTATACTACAACAGATTTTTTTTTATTCATTGGTTAATTGATAAGTACTTAAATAATCAAAATTTAGCATTCGTTGGCATTCATATTTATTTATTGCTAATGGTATAAATATCCATTGCCTCAGTTGCAGAGATCTCTCTGATATAGTGTTTGCGATTCATAGGACAATCTCACAAAGAACATGAATCTCTATTACGTTCCCATATAACCCTGAATCCTCTAATAAAACATCAATATAAGTTTTAGTTGGTTATTTATTTTCTTAAAAAAAAAAAAGTTATCACAATCACTTACTTATCGGACCAAAAAATCACATCACTCTGCCAATCCTTATGATCCAGTTCTGCTACAAATCTACCAAATTTCTCGTTTGTCCAAACATGACTTTCTTTTAATGATTCAATAATTTTTTTATTAAAATTATCTGGACTAACTTTCGTATCAGATGATGATTTGTTGATAAGATCATGAAACTTAAGCGAATGTATAATCGATTTGATTACATCAATAGATTCTGCATCAGAATGATAGAGTATGCTAATGGTATTAAGAATATGTTGGAAACTTAATAAATAATTTTCATTCTAAATTGAATATATGTTTGTGTTTGTGTTTGTATGTTATATAATTAAATTAAATTAGTTATTTAAAGATTCCATCAAATCAAAAAATCTTGTCATTGAAAACAATACCTCCAATACTTTTAACGTTTCCATCATATCTTCAGTTCTACGAAAAGCTTCAGATGCAGGAACTCCCAAACGCACTTTAACACCAATAGGACTTTTCCCTGGTTTAATCCATTCACCAAACCCTATCTCCCTATCTTTTAATTCTTCCATAGTTGGTACTTTATCACAATCAATATATTCTCTGGCAATTAATGATAATTTTGCTTGATTTAAAATTTCAAAATTTGCTGAATTTAAAAGTGATAGAGTGGCATATAAGTTAAGTGGAGCAAGAATTGCAAAGCATGTAAAAATGAAGGCTGGTTCGTGAGAAATAGAAAGTAGGCCGACACCACAAAACATTCTAATGTGTGAAGATCAAATTAAATGAATAAACTGTTATCTATCCTTCTTCATGATTTTATTTTGAAAGTAAATCTAATTTAAAATATGGGGTTAACAGATTACCCTAGTAAATGAGCTAAAGACATTTGTGCATCATCTTTTGCAACGATGTCACCAACATTTCCAGAAAGCTAAAATAGTATGAAATCCTTATAATTTACAATTGCAACATAAAATTTTTTTTAAACAACTTATTACTAAGATCTTTTACTTACTGCAAAATTTCTTAAAAATGCCATATGTGTAGCCCCAAATACACTATACTGAATACTCTCACAAGCATTGCCCAACGAAGCTAATGGCAAAAAAAGAGATGGTTTCACCATACATGTACAAAGTTGAAGAAAATAGCCTGTAATTCCAAAAATCTCACTGATCTAGAAACAAACAATCTTTATTTATTATTGATGATTGTTTTTTAAAAATAAAATTTTTTTATATTTACCATTTTCCATGTTTTTGGATGTGAATCAAATGAATAAGCAAATCTTTTTATGAAAAACAATTTCCCTATTTCACCAAATCCATCTTTGAGAACCCTAAATTTACCTCATAGAATTCAGCAAAATGATTTCTCATTAAATTGATCTGATGATTATCCTATTTGGTAACACTATTTTATTCTTCAAAAATTTACCATTGAATTGCTACAGCACCAACTGCAGCTTCAGCATGTCCTAAACCCAAGGATGATAACATTGCTTGACTACACAAGACTCCTGTCTGAACAAAAATTTGTTTAGAAGAAAAAAAAATAGTTGATCTATAACGCAATTAAACAAGAAAACTCCCCCAAATTACCGATGATCCCAAAAATGTTTCTATTGCAAGCCATATATGAAATTTAGAATAACATTCATGAACAGTTTCTGGATAACTAACAAATTCTCAATCAATATTAAAAAATAATATGTAGAAAAATATGACATGCATACACGTATTTGTATGCATATAAATAAAATCAAGAGTTACCTACCCAACAGGTAAAAACATTGCACTTAAACTTTGTTTAATACTTCCCATAAAACTAGATACAGGGCTTCTTTCTTCAGGAACACCGCTTTTTGAAGTTTGGGGCTGCCATTGCCAATATAGCTTTGATGAGGGAGCAGCCGGTGAAGATTTAGAACTTGTAGGGGAGTGAGAAGAGGCAGGCGGAAGTACCGTATATATTCGTGTTCTGCCGTATAATAATTCTCTTAGAATAGGTTTGGCATTTCCACTATGAGTGGAAGAGTTATTTTTATTATCATTAGTGTCGTTAGCATTATCTTTTGAAGTATTTTGTGATTTTTCACCAGAAGAAGTGGATGAAAAACGAGCAAAATCAAAATCTTTTAATATATATGTTTTATTGTTATTATTATTATTATTTAAAGACCGCGTTGAATTGAAACTAAACAAATAATTATGGTTATTGCAGTTGAATTTATTAGTATGGTTTTTGTAATGTTGAAATTTTAAACACTGACGAAACAAAAAACTTTTCATGACTTTGCTTTTGTTTTTGTAACAAATAAACAAGTTTTTTTGATGATAGACAGTTTTTCAGATTTCAAAAGTGTTCCAAAAAATATTTAGGATGATCTACAGGGTTTGCAATTACGCATAAAAATCAAATAAATAAATATTAAGCTTAATAATCTTATCAATATGTTTGGCGATAACTGACAACTATATTAAGGCCACCAGAGACCTATTAAAGGCACTTCCAATGGATTTCTCGCGTCGATATTAGCAAATCCTCACCAACGAAAGCCATAGCTCCAGCAGCATCCTTTATAAAAAAGGTTGCCACGTTATGATAATGTGAGTAGCAATGCATATTAATACGCAAAATGTTTAAATTATGTCGAATCCAGCTGCAAAGGTTGGAAAAAAAAAGGTTTAGATTTCTCTGATTTTGATAGCATCTTTTGCATTTGTTGATCATCGCCAATTTTATTTCGAATCATTGAGCCAATAAAATTCGAAAAAAATTCATTTACTTTCTAGATTTCTAGTTTCACATTTACAAAACGATGAAGTTAGCATCTTTATGGAAATTTGACATTTTAACCAATTGTTGTTGTTACTTTGGTTGTTCTAAACTTTAATTTTATATACCTAGGTTTTACATTGACAATTTGCCAGTATATTTTCCATATGACAAGATATATCCTGAACAGTATGCATATATGGCAGATCTGAAAAAAGCACTTGATGCACAGGTATTTCATAGCTTTAAATAGTTGAAAATATTGTTTGCCAAATATAAAGACTAAAAGATATGATTAGGGAAATTGTTTATTAGAAATGCCATCTGGTACAGGAAAAACTGTATCACTTTTATCACTCATAATATCTTATCAAATGGTAAGAAATAAATAAAGAAATTCAACAGATCGTAAAAGACTTCTTTTAATGAATAAAATAATTTAATGGTTTATTTATTTATTAGTTTTATCCAGAGAAAAGGAAACTAATCTACTGTTCAAGAACAGTACCAGAGATTGAAAAGGCATTAGCAGAATTAAACAATCTTATACAATACAGAAAACAATGTGGTATTAATGAAAGTTTTTTAGGAATTGGATTAACATCAAGAAAAAACCTTTGTTTACATCCTACTGTGAGTGTTCAATATTTATCAATATTAATATTTTATAGAGATATTTAATTTATTTGTATTTATAGGTTAGTCAAGAAAAATGGGGTAAAATTGTTGATGCTAAATGTAGAAATCTTACTTCATCATGGATAAGGGAAAAGGCTAAGGCTTATCCAGAAGATGAAGTTGCATTGTGTAATTTTTATGAGGTAATTTCATATTTTTAAAAAAAAACTTCATATTTCTTTCTATTGTTACTTTGCAATTCAGATAATTAATGACAGTCATAGTTGTTTTAACATAGCAATTAGAAAAAATGGATACAAAAGAAAACATGTTGCCTGATGGTGTTTATACACTTGAGGATTTAAAAGAATATAGTAAAAACAAAGGTTATTGTCCATATTATTTATCTAGAAGAATGGTAAATATATATATTATGGTTTAATTCTTGAGTATATTTTTTTATTTTTATTAAAATTAATTTAATCTATCTATACAATTTAGATTTCTTATGCAAATGTAATAATATACAGCTATCATTATCTTCTAGATCCTAAAGTTGCAGAATTGGTATCAAAAGAAATGTCTAAAGATTGTATAGTAGTGTTTGATGAAGCTCATAATATTGGTATATTTAAAATTTAAATATTAATAAATTAAATCTTTAATTGTTATATAAAATAAGATAAAATAAATATGTTTAATTTTTAAAAAGATAATGTTTGTATTGAATCTTTAAGTATCGATCTTACAAAGCCAAATTTGGATGCTAGTGCAAGAAGTGTAGCTGAATTAGCCAAAAGGATTGAAGAGTAAGTTTAAATTTTAGTTATTCGAATGTGTGTATATATATATGTACATCTATTGCTTACTTATATTTATTATTTATTATTAAGCCTTAAAGCCGAGGGATCAGAGAAATTACAAAATGAATATACAAAACTAGTTGAAGGTTTATAGAACTAAATGATTAAAATATTCTTTTGTTAAAATTAATTTTGATATGAATACCTTATCTGTTTGAATCAACAGGCCTAAAAGAAGCAAGTCAAGCAAGAGATGAAGATATGTATATGGCAAATCCTGGTGAATTTCAATTTATTAAGCATATACAATTATTTATTATTTATATAATATATACATAAGTTCTAATCACATATTATTTATCTGCATTCATAAATAATTAGTCTTACCAGATGATGTGTTAAAAGAAGCTGTGCCTGGAAACATACGGAAAGCAGAACATTTTGTAGCATTCATGCGGCGTTTCATTGAATACTTAAAAGTAAGTAATTGATTAGCATCATATTGACATAATTTTGTAATTTTATTCTTTGATAATTCAAAATATTCAACATAAGACTAGAATGCGTATAAAACATGTGGTTGCTGAGACACCTGTATCATTTCTTCAAAATGTTAGAGATGTTACATTTATAGATCAAAAGCCTTTAAGGTTAGTTTTAGGGATCTATGATAAAGAAATATTTGTTTATGAATAACATTCTTATATATACACATATAGATTTTGCAGTCAAAGACTGACCTCATTGATTCGTACTCTGGAGCTAACTAACCTTGATGAATATTATGCATTACATAAAGTTGCTGGATTTGCAACATTAGTTGCAACTTATAATACAGGCAATTAAGAATTATAAAATATAAAAATTTTTATTAGAATGAATTATGCCTATAATAAATAAGATTTTAATTTCAATAGGCTTTTTGTTGATTTTGGAACCTTTTGAAAATGATACCATACCTAATCCAGTACTTCATCTCACGTTAGTTTTCAATTTAATCATTTTATGTGAATATGATTTTACTTGAATATTAATTTTTTGATTAAAAAAAAAAACTGATAATATAGATGTCTTGATGCCTCTATTGCAATTAAGCCAGTTTTTCAAAGATTTAAAACTGTAGTGATTACATCAGGAACATTATCACCTCTTGACATGTATCCAAAAATGTTGAATTTTCGTGCTGTGATTCAAGAAAGTTATTCAATGAGTCTTACTAGAAACTGCTTTCTACCACTGGTATTTATCTATCTTTACAACATTTTGACTTGATGTTGTAGTGTCTTTAATTATTGAATATAAAAGAATATTATTTTAGGTTATTACTAGAGGAAGTGATCAAGTGGCAATAAGTTCAAAATTTGAAGTAAGAAATGATCCTGCCGTAGTAAGAAATTTTGGGCAAATTCTTGTAGAGTATTCAAAAATAGTTCCTGATGGCATTGTGGCTTTTTTCCCTAGCTATTTATACATGGAATCAATTGTGGCCATGTGGAATGATATGGTAAGCTTACTTTTGTTGGTAGTTTCTCTTATAATAAGCTCATATCATTAAAAAACCCCATTTTTATTTTCAAAGGGAATTTTGAATGAAGCATTGAAAAATAAATTAATATTTATTGAAACTCCTGATGCAATTGAGACAAGCCTTGCATTGGAAAATTATCGTAAAGTAATGATTAAGATGACACAATTTTGTTTTTAAAATTTTTTTGTTAATATCCAATATCAATGATAACAATACTAATGTTTTATGTCATAAATAGGCATGTGACAATGGTAGAGGTGCCATTTTACTTTCTGTTGCTCGCGGTAAAGTGTCAGAAGGTATAGATTTTGATCATAATTATGGTCGTGCTGTGATAATTTTTGGTGTACCATATCAATATACCGAGAGTAGAATATTAAAAGTAAGTAATTAAATATATTTACGAATAAAAATATAATCAGATAAATAAATAATATATATATACTTAATGTAGGCACGTTTGGAATTTCTTAGAGACAACTATCAAATACGTGAAAATGATTTTTTGACATTTGATGCAATGCGTCATGCAGCACAATGCGTAGGAAGAGTGTTACGTGGGAAAACAGATTACGGGCTTATGATATTTGCTGATAAAGTTAAATAATGGTTTTAATTTTAAAAATATTGATATTATATATACACATACGTATTTATGTAGTTAATTATTATTTTTTGTATTTACCAGAGATTTGGAAGAGCAGATAAACGGAATAAATTACCAAAATGGATAAACCAACACATTACAGATATAGCAATAAATTTATCAACAGATATGGCTTTAGTGATTGCAAAAAAATTTTTAAGATCCATGGCACAGCCATTTGAACATGACAAATTTGGAATCAGTTTATGGAGTCTGAAAGATCTGGAAGCTAAACAACAACAAAATAATAGAATTACACAAGCTTAATGATAAACAAGTAATAATAGATTTTAACATTTTTAGCATATATTTTTATATTAGAAATAAACATTGACTATAAAATCTGAAAATGCCCAATGATAATTAATGTTCAAGAACTCTGGCAATTATATGGATGGGTAATTTGATTTGCATAAAAATGGTATGGCTTAAAAATAACATTTATTTTAAAATAAATTCGATTCAAAACCAAATTAGTGCCAGTTTTGAGTATAAAAAATGTAGACAGTGTTTATGTCCAGCCACTTCGTTGTAATGATATTCACAATTTTTTCTACAGTGCGAATCATCTATACTCAAAAGTTAAAAAATTTAAAATATTATATGATCCATACGTTGGATTTTAAAAAAACCATCACCATTCAATTCAGCTTTTAAAAGGAAGTCAATTCACATAGAAAAAATTTGTTTCGAATTTTCTTTTCATAGATTTTTAATTTCGAGAGAAATGTAATAATAAATTTTCGTATATACAGCAGTGATGTGCATTGGAAGCTTCCAATGGAAGATTTTGGAAGTTTGGAAGTTTGGAAGTCACAGGCCTTCCAATCAAACATTAAAGGGGTTAAAAACCTAATTAGCCAAGTGCTCATTTGAGTTGCGCAGCCAGCCCTGATTCCAGCCAATAAAATTTAAGAATTAAAAATTAAATTTTATCAAATTTCTGTTTCTTAACACTTTTTAACCAACTGTTAAAGGGCTTGTTGGTGAAGTGATTGTTGACAAAATGAATCTAACCCACATTAAATGTTTCTATTAACATTTATTTTTAAATTCACGATTTAATTGGTCAAAACAATTGCCTATTTTAACCTTATTTGTAAATGATATATAACGTTTTACAATAAATTTTGCTAATTTTTTTGGCGTCATTTTAATTTCTTAATATTAATAACAGTGGGGGTTTTTTGTGGCAACTTGGTTGAATCCTTTAACAACAGAGAAATAATATCAATTATTCTTTTTTTTTTTGGTGACAACTTGGTTGATTCCTTTAACAACAAAGAAAGACATAGCTGATTTCTTTTAACAATAAAAAATAAAATCTTTTTTCCACAGTTGTGACAAAGTATCTTTTTTGCATGTATAAAAGAACTTGGTTTTGACTTAGGCATAATATGTGCACATTCTTTTATCCTAATAATTGAATAATAAAAATAAAAATTTATAAATTCATAAAACTGGAAACTATTATTTCTATAGAAGGAGGAGGAAAAGCATCTGAAACTGTAAAAAGATTCTTAGAACAACAAGAATTTACTACAAAAAAGATGTTAAATATGTCAGTAAATTAATGAAACGTTTAAATAGTTCTGTAGATAAAGCAAAACATCAATTCTTGTTGACAGAATTTATTGATATTAATATTGAATAAAAATTTTTATGTTAAATTAAAAGTCATGTGAAATGATCAACTGCTCGAGATATATCCCACCTCAATTATATCCCACAAAAGTACTGATACAAAAAAGGAAATATAAAAGAGATATGCCTGTACTATTTCTGATGAGAAGTATTATGCTTTCAGATAGGTTCTATTGTATTATGAATTACATATTCAAGTTTGGTAATGATTTTCTTTTAATGTAATATGTTCGTTAAAGCTTTTTTTATTGAATTGAACTTTTTACTTATTAATAAAAACGAAAATAAATATACAAATAATAACAATCCAATATATTGATACGTTGTAAAAATATTCCATGAAAAAATTTTATTACACGAAATTTACTTAGTCTCAATTTCTTAAGTGTATAACAAAATTTGGAATTTTCAAAATGCTAAGGCTCAGCCAATTAAGAAAAATCTAGCCGATAAGTTTTGAAGTTTGAGTCATAAACAATAAAATTCATTGGTTGAATTTTTTAAAATGATATAAAATTTTTTGTATTAGTATTTTTGAAGCTGACCAATTGTCACTATAAGCAATTAATTATTATAGATGATCTGCACCGTAATTATACCATCTCCAAAAAAGGCAATCTATCTTGATTTCTTATTTACGCGCTTTTTTTATATAATTTATCAATTATTAAAATTAAAAAATGTCAGCTCGTAAATCTACCGATGCAAAACCAATTCCCAAGACAAATATCTTAAAATTCTTCCCTCTAGTTCAAAGAACTGAAACAAAAAAAGAAAAAAAAGGTAAGATTTAATACCTTAAAAAATTGATTTTTTTATTATACGATTTTAACAAATATTAAATATAACCTTTTAAAGCACTAATTTATAATGATCCAAAACTCGAGTCTTTCTATAATTTTTTTCGGCCATTTAATGTTATAAAAACAATGACTATGGCACCTATCAACAAATTTCAACATCCTCTAGATGCTAATTTTGAAAAGTTGGTCTTAAATGAGTATAATAATATTAATAATATAAAGTTGCCAGAACAACAACAACAATCGAAATTAGAATCCAAAGAATATTATATTAAAGAATATTTATCAGCTGTACGACCAAAGCTGTTAAAGAAGCGTGGAATCAACCTTCCAATAAACATCAAAAAATTATTTTCTTTAAAAAATACCATTAATTCAAATTACAAAGAAATGGTTATCAAAGACCATGACATTGATGCTAATGGTGATGACAATAAAAAGATGATGGATATTAAATCCGATGATCAATATTCAGTTGTTGAAGAATTGTCAATGGAAGATAAATTAAATTTGTTAAATGATAAATCTAAAGTGTGGATAAAATTATTACAATTTGGAGAAAACCATCGTCCATCATATTATGGTATGTGCATATTTAATGGAATAATAATAATGTAATAAGTTAATAATGAATATGGTTTCTTTTTAAAAATATAAGGAACCTGGACAAAAACTAGTAAAAAAATTACCGGTCGTCGTCCCTTTGCAAAAGATCCTGATTACTTTGATTATGATTATGATAGTGAAGCAGAATGGGAACTTGATGATGGGGAGGAATTAAAGAGTGATGATGATGAAGAAGAACCTGAAGAAGATGAACTTAAAGTATTTATAAATCAAATTAAATTAAAAAATATTTCTACACATAATTATTGCCGCTCATGATCCACTTTATAGGATGAAGATTTCCTTGTTCCAGATTCTTATCTTTCAGAAGATGAAGGTGTCGAAGAATCTGACGAATCTATTAATTTATCTGCTGAATCTTCGCCTAGTAAGCCCCTTTATTATTTTTTTATATTTAAAGTTACAAATAATGGTTAAATACTATTTGGAAAAATTTTTTTAATAAAAAAATTAGATAAAAAAAATGTGGTAAGAAAAGAACGTGGACATGTTAGTTTGTTTTCTTGGTCTTATGATTATTATCTTTGAATATTAAGAATTAGGATAACTAATACTGATTTTTTCATTTCCTCTTCTAGAGAATGATTGAACCAATGAAAGAAATGGTGATTGGACCAATTTTTGAAGAAGTTCTTGGTGATAAAAATCATCAATTGTCTGAATATAGTATTCAGTTTTTAAATTATAATAATGGTAAATGATGATATTATTAAATTTCTCTTATCATAATTAATTACTAATAATTAATTAATCACTAATTGAAAAAATAGTAAAAATTTCATTACCATTTGATCCATTTTCAAGACCAAAAAATCTAACTGAACAATTCAGAAAAGTAATACCAACAGATCCACAACCACAAAATACTAACACCACCATCATAAACACCACTTCCAATAATAATAATAGTAATAATAACAACAACAACAACAACAACAACAACAACAACAACAACAATAATAATAAATCTGGAAGTAAGAAAAAAAGAAAGAGTGCAAATATGGATCCTGATAAGGCAACAACAATAAAAGCATTATCATCAGTAGATAATGATAAAAATAAAAAACCAAAGAAAAAACAAAAAATTGAGAAAATAATTGAAATTGTTTGAAATCAGTGTTATGGTCTTAACTTTTTTTTCTGTAATAAATATTGATCCATTGTCATTTTTCTTTTTCTTTTTTATTTTTTATAGTTTCCAATTTTGTTTCATGAATTTTAAATGGTTATATTTGTATATTACTTTATTCATCACACTATTACTATTCATAATTACAGAATTAGAAATTGTAATTGCTGGATGACAGGAAACATTAATTGTTATTTTGATACATGAGCAAAATGAATAATTGTGTCATTATATTTAGATAAGAATTTTATTATTATCTTCATTAGGCTGTTCAAATTTAATTCTCCTTTTTTTTTTGAAAATTAGGGGAAGGATAATTTAAACAAACAAAACGACCAATGAATTACCCGAAAAAATTGCTGCACACAAAAGTCACGTGTTTTATGAACCTAAATATCAAATATTAATAATTCGAACGCGCTTATTGTCACAATAATTTATTATTATCCCCTAAACGGTTAATCGGCTATCGATAGCTGATAAAATTTTTCTGATATAAAAATTTTTTTCTGGGGGCATCACTTTCTAATACGAAGATGATCTTTGAGATTAATCTATAAATAAAAATCTAGTTGTTGTCCTTGTGGTTTTTATAAAATCTTCTTTAAAAGTTGGTCGATTAACTTTTTTTACTTTGCTGATCGTTAAATTGACCAATAAGAATGATCAAAACTTTAATTTGTGTTACCATTAAAGAATACTCTGACCGTTTAAGAGATAAACATAAATACATTACTTCATATCTATCATCATCCTTTGCAGTTACAATATATTATTCATCTTTGAAGGATCATAAAAAAGAAGAACGTCATTATGACTTACTCTATGACTTTAATGTTAATTCATAAGCTTTGCTGCAATAATTATTTGTAAACATGACATAAGAAAAGTCAACCTCCTTATGACTTCATAAACATTTCAAAACGTATATAAAGACCATATTCTGCTCGACCAACAATCAGAATTAAATAAGGACGATTTTAAATTATTAAAATCTTAAAGAAAAATTTAAAAAATTGATTTTAACTCACAACAACAATCCCCTTTAAAATGGTGGAACACTTGCTTTCCTTCAAACAATCAGCTTCAAGCTCTTGCTATTAAATTATTCTCAATAACACCGCATGCAGCAAGTTGTGAGTGTATATATATAGCAAATGAAAAATACAGTTATCATTTGAAACAATTGAATCTTTAACAAAGGTATATATGGGAAATACAAAAAAAGAATTACTTAATTATCATCAACACCAAGTAATCAATTATGATGATGAAATAGTTCAAATTGTGAATGAATCACTTGCAGAAAGCTATGAAGATGTGACATTAGAAGAAGATGAAGAGCAAATTTTATCAAGTTTACAATCATCTGAAACAATAATAAATACAAATAATGATGAAGTATTAGACATTTCATTAGAATTTAATTCACAGCCCATTGTTTTGATTGAAAATGATATTGAAGATTTTGACATGAACAGTCTAGTTAATGAGGTTATAAGTTGATAATATAAATAGATATGTTTTGTATCTCTCCATTATAACATTAAGAATATAGTTATATATATTTATTTATTATCTTTGTTACAACTAAGGATGTTTGCCAAATCCGAAATATTCAGCATTGCCGAATCCGAAAATAATTTCAGAAGTTGATTTTTAAAATTCAAAATTCCGAAATGCTGAAATATTCCCGAAATGCAGGATTGTTTCCGAAATGCCGAATTACATATTTGGTAAAGATTATCATGTCAATCTATAATAAGAAAATCCTACACAGAATTGTCAGAAAACTTGGTGTGCAAAGAGATTTCCAGAGTAAATAATAGAATTGATAAAGAATTAGAAGTTGGAAAAACCTTAATATTGGTAAATGATTGCAAAATAATAATTTAATTTTGTTGCACTAATATTTTATATATATTTCAGTATTAGATGAGTGGTCATTTCCCATATACAATTTTATCATTTTAATGCCACAAAAAAATCAATATTTATATTGTCTTTATGACCACTCCAGCTCTCAATAAAATTGGAGTTGTTAAATTTAAAGCAATAATGGTGCTAATGTTAAACTTGCATGTAATCTTAGATGCATAGCTCATTTTGTGAACTTGGCTATCAAATCAATCATTGGTCAGTAATAATTTTTAATATTTATTCTTTTTTTAATGTTAATATTTTTGAAGTATTAATTATTATTATTATTAATTAAATAAATGTTGGCATTAAAATAGAACAATACAAATTGATAGTTGAGGCAGCACATGAAATATGGAAAAGTATAGATAGCTGCCTGAAATCAGAAGAAATATTATTGCCATAGATGTGTAAATATAAACTAAAGATATCATCATATGATAATAATTGTTTTTTCAAATGGAACATCAAAGGTTTGGTGGTTCTCAGTAGATGATCCATGTAAAAATCTACAACTTTTAATGTAGTGATATTATACCATATAGTGCTGTGTGTGAAAGAGTTTTCTCAATATTCCCACACTACATTTTGCCTTCGTCCTGCTGTTTTTTTTTGTTGACATATATATTCAAATAATAATTTTCCTCTTATAAATATTGATGTTAATGTTCTTAGTATGTTCTTATTAATGTTCTTGGTATGTTCTTATTAATGTTCTTAGTATGTTCTTATTATTGTTCTTAGTATGTTCTTATTAATGTTTTTATGTTCTTGTTAAAATTTGAACTAAAAATAAAAATTAATAGCTAAAAAAAAATATTTAGTTACTCTTAGTGAGAAGGGTGAAAATTGACGGTATAAATAATAATGAAACAGCCTAAAGGCCTAAAATAATGATATTAATTTCAATAATTTCAAAAAAAAAAAAATATATTATTATTATTAATTATTATATTAATTTCAAAATAAAAATTTTAATTTTCTGTATTATTTATAAACTATCTTAAATTCTTATATTATTGTTCTTATTTCATTAAAGTTTGTTATATTAATGAGAAGAAGATGAATGAACATATATATTATAAAATCTTTTGGAAAAAAAAATATATATATATTATTATTATATATATAAATATGGAATTTCAGTGTTTTGGCATTCTATATATGGAATTTAGGCACTTCCATTTCTATATATGGAATTTCGGCATTTTGGCACATTTTGGCATTTTCAATATCAGCATTTTGGAAAAATATCGGAATGCACATTTCAAATCCGAAATATTCGGAAATTTAAAAACAATTTCGGCTAACATCCTTAGTTACAACCATGTGAATACAACTTGTCTTTCAACACAACCAAATTCACTAGTCAACACTACTGATACCAATAAGAATACAAAATGTAAGAATGAGGAAGGTAACAACTCAAAGAAGAAATTATGCAAATGTGGAGCCACTATCCATAGTCATATATCATGTTCAAAATGTCCTTTGAACAAGGAGTGGCAGGCAAAGCAAGATACCAACAATATCAAATATAAAGTTTCATGCATAAAGAAAAAACTTAACCAATTTTTAAAAAAAGTAATCAATTGCTTCCAATTGTAAAATCTGCAATTTTATGTGTCAAAGATATAACCTATGAAGGTGCCAAAATTCTAGAATTGTTAATCCTTGATCATTTCAATGATCACAACTTGCAATGATTACCTCAAATTCACTCCCAATTTGTTTGTAGAATATTCTAATCAACAACAACAACGCTTCATAGTAATGGTACTCTGTTGAATACCAGATGTGACCTCATAAACAATATTTGTAATGAATATGCAATCCAATGGCTAATGGACATTAAAAAAGTAAAATTTTAGGAACTGTATCATATAGTCTTATTTTAAACTTACTATTTGATCCTAACAATATAGGAGGCTTGGTCAAATACTAAGCCTAGCAGCACATTCATATATGGGGCATGGTCAATGGGAAAGAGGTAATAGGATTTTTATTCATGAATATCATGAAAATCATTAAGGGGGTTACACACTATTAAAACAGAAAAAAATCCCTTAAAAACATGAGTTGATCACTTGATTTTAATAGTGTGTGACACTGTATGACCCCCCTATGATATTCATGAATACAAACCCTAAGGGGTAAACGTCAAAATCACGATTTTGAAAAAATCGAAAAAAAGATCTGCATCTCAAATAATTTACTACCATTTTTCAAAGCTTTAACAAAAAATACCTCAAAATTTTATTAAGCGAAATGGGTATTGTTCCTTGCAATGAGTTACATATATATGTGGCATTGACTCAAAATCATGATTTTGACGTTTACCCCTTTTCTATTGACCATGCCCCATATAAGGTTGCGGGAGAAACTCCTCCAGAAATCAATCGACAGAGTTTCGACAGGTTACACATTAACTGTTTATTAGAGTTTCGGCAGAGTTTCGCATTTGGGGTTTTTGCTAATCATCAGAGTTTTGACAGGTTACACATTAATTGTTCATTAGAGTTTCGACAGAGTTTCGACAGTCATTAAGAGGTTTCGCCCACAACCTTAGCCCCATATAGTAAACTGCCATAATTTTATATTGAAAATCATGGATAAAATATAAACTGTGTTCTTCACAATGTTAAAATAAACCAAATCACAAATCATCTTTGGTATTTACTCACCACACACCATCAAGGCCTGGCAACTATCCCACAATCAACATTAAAGCACCACCACCTACCTATTTATTCTGCTATTTGTATCCATCAAATATTCAACGAAATCTGCCAGGTAGTTGGAGGTCTTTTTATTACAAAAGAATAAATGAGTAATGAACGATCATGTGTTTGTTAGCTTGCCCCTCTTTACCATATTCTTCAATGCTTTGAGAAGCATCCTCTGTTTGATCTGGTGAGTTTTTTTTAATAATTTTTTTTACATTTATTTTTAAAAATGATAGTATTTTCATTTTTGATATTAACCTTGTATCACTGCCATCATCATTCATTCATCATTCATTCATTTGTTTGTTCATTTGTTCATTCATTCATAGGTTCCTCAATTTTCCTTCACTACCTGTCATATACCAATTGATACAGATGCTCTATATGACATTATTTCTGAAGCTGGTCTCAATAATGGTATGGACAAGATGCAATTTGGTGATGAAGCATTAGTTCAATGGTCACGTTTTTTCAAAGTTGAACAACTTGGTGATAATTTTGGCTGCTATATTGAAACAGATGGGGTTTCTGTTAATATAAATATAAAAAATCCAATTCATCATAATAATAATAATGACAATGACAACAGCAATAAAAATTTTTGGAATTTAGATCTAACTGGGAAAAAGGTTGTTGGTTTAGACCCAGAAAGTAGTGATGTTAGCCGGTAGAAAAACCTTAGCCGGCTTAGCCGGCTAATAATCTGCATACATAATTTCTAAATTTGGTAATATATTTCCGCGTTATCTTCTGGTTATGGAAATAAAATTACCAAATTAGGTAATAAACGGCTTAGCCGGCTAAGAACTTG